TGATATAAATAGAATTAAAAAAGTGAAGGCTATGGGAGAGTAAAAATACACTGGTTTATTTCGGATTGAAAGTTTTATTTAAAAAAAAAAACTGTATATATATAGAAATCCTACAACATTTATGACTTCAATTATTAAATACAATGCCCTGTAATTGTTACTCTAAATATTGCAATAAAATTCAACTAATTCGCACATAAACTATTTATATAGTACAAAGCCTTTTTAACTATATGTTTGTTATTATGTACATATTATAATATTTATTATAGGCAAAATAATTGCACAGAACTTTTGGTTCTATTATGGGAGCCAACTTATATTGCAGAAACAATGAGCAAATTAAAGTATTTCAATTAAATATAGGAAGTGCATATGATTTCAATAAATATAACATAATAATAAATTTAAATTATTACATGTTATATATAAACTTCCTGTTTCATTAGTTTCTTTTGATTTATAACTATATTTACAATACCTACTAGCAAATCAGCGAAATATTTGTAAATATAATTGTCGACATTGTTCAATCATTAGCGTCTTATGTTTGTTCTAAATTTAAACTGATTGACTTGCTATATCCGAGCTCTTTGACATTTCTAGTATTAGCTAAGAAGATGATGTGGAATTGATTTTTTATAATAGTATCTATACAATTTTCCTGTACCAAAAATTTGCAACCCTAAAGTTGAATTTGAAATATTTCTTAATTTACCTATTAGCTATCTTCTATTCCAATTAAACTTGAAAAGATGTTCACGTTATAGGTTGCAAAAATGGTTTTTATATTTATTTACATTAGTTTTACAAGGATTTTATAAATAAGAAATATTAGTGATCCAATAGTAATTGGTGTAACATTTGCGTCATCTTCAATCTTTGTTTTATTTTTTATAAATAGTGTAGAAATAAAAAAAATAGAAAATAAATGTAAAAATTTGAGATTGACCAATAGTGACATGTAGTTTGAATCAGAAACAAGAACTGACAAATATCGTCACATGTCTTGCTTTTTATTTTAACTAACCACGATTTGTTTGTAATAATGGTTTAATTATCTACATTATTCTGGCCACCGTCTCAGTCCAGCATTATTTGCACAATAAAATCTGTTAAATTAGGTTTTTCTCACTTATTTTCCTACAGATCTCGGTTAAAGTTGATGAAGAGTTTCTCACCACAGTTTATTCTACATTATAAACATTGCAGCGAAATAAATCGAAATATACGATTAGGATGTTTAGATTACGCTACGAACTTTATATAAATTTAAATTTCCTGTATTTAATTTCGTAATACGTTAAGAGCAAAAAACGTTCGAATGTGAATTAACTAAATAATAAAAAATTGTATGAAAAATTCCCATATCTACAAATTCCATAATTCAATATTTATCCTAAGTAGTCCATTATGATTTAATAAGTAATAAAATCTGATACTTTATGTCTGTTATCAAACTCTTATTTGTACGAGCATCAATAAAATATAATATAATAATGGTAATTAAGATATTATGGGAATTGCAAGAATTCGCATCACAATAATGTGAGTGTGATAATATAAAAATAAACTGATATGTTTAAATAGAAATACAATGAGTAATTGTAGAGAATAATTGTACGCACATACATTTCTAATGCAGAAGGCATTTTTAATACTAAACTGTAGAGAACAGAGAATTATAAATATTTATGAATCCATAAATAAATTAAACATGAGATAAGCTGAGTTGGATTAAGGTATTAATCATACGTGGAGGTAATGTGTCTGAGTAACCATAATAAAATAAAATAATAATTTTAATTTTATAAAAAATGATAACAAGTAGAAGTAGAAAAATTATAAAAATATGAGATAAAATTCAGAGTGATAAACAACATTAAGGGGCACAACTAGTGTAACCGCCTAAAAAAGGTGATTTTTGGGAATTTATATTAAAAAAAACTACTATATCAATCACTTCAAAATTTAGGAATATATTTATACATGTTTTAAGAATACATAGTAAAATTTTTGAAGGAAAAAATTAAATATTTTTTAAGTTATCTCCAACGGCGCGACAAAAAAAAGACCTTTCACTGCTGCAGTGATTCAGGCCTTCTACATGGATAAAATTTAAAAAAAATTCTCGTTAAACTAGATAATATTGTCTGTAAAATGAACTACGATAAAGAAAAAAAATCAAAAATTGACAAAATGACGGCGTTTTTTTTAAAAAAGGCGAGTTAAACCCAAAACTTTGGTCGTTTTTGGACTGTCATAATTCGATTTTTGATCCGATCAAAAAATCGACAGTTCATTTTACAGAGAACTATATATAGAACATGTAAAAATAAATTGATAGTGATCGGATCATTTGTTTTTGAGCAATCGCTGCAGCAAATTCGGAAAATGCTGTTTCGAGAAAAACGCGTTTAAAGATTAAATGATCGTTATACTATATACTATATATATACTCTTTAAATGGCTGTAACTCAAAAACTATTTAAGACATCGATTTAAAATTTTAGTAGTTATTTTTAAAGATATAACCTATCGAAAAATGGAAGAATTGAAAATTCGATTTTCTGAAAATTTCACACTAGTTGTGGCCCTTAAGCATTTGGCATGTTTGTCGAAATTTAATTTGGCTTATTGTCAAAAAGTACAATTGCAATTTCGGTTATTGAAATAATCCTTGTATAATGGAATTTACCAAAAGTCGTTAAAAAAAATGCGATATTGTTCGAGAACTATGTGAAAAGTATGTTACATCATTGATCTAGAAATAGATCACATAATTATCATGTCATGTCGCGCTTACATTATTACATAGCCTTGTCAGCCGTGGCGATGGGACGGTCGCTTAATTATTATTTATTTGCAAGCTTAAAATAAATCACAACGACAAAATCAAAATCGCATTATTGACAGATTTAATACATTTAAAATGTACATTTTTTAAAATTATGGAAATTATTTGCTAGTGGGCAGTATTTTGCTATGAGAATCAAAAATATCATGAGTGATGATGATAATTAAACCAGTGCACAGTTCTTTATACCTTCTACTATCAAGAAGGAGAAGATTATAATTATGTTCAATAATGCTACTTTATAAGCAAGCAATATCATAAGATTTATTAATATCATAAATTTTTATGTCCATATTTTCGGCACAAAAATATGAGCACATCATTCTTATTATGAACAGTTCTAAATGAATATTCATTGTGGCATTTAGCATCCCAAGTTGGGGTGCTTTCAGCATTAAGAGTATTTATCATGCTTTACATTGGTTTTCAATTTAGCTTATTCAACAAAAAAAAAAAGAAATGGAAAAGAGATTGTGGCTGTTCATATCTTTTAAAAAGAGATTAGAGCTGGAAAATGAGATTTTCTGAAAGAAGTAAAAGAATTTTATCAAATATTTTTAATTGAGTATTATGAATTACCATTTCAATTATCATTTTTTTCAAGTGATAGAGTTGCTTTGGCCACAACAAGCACTTGGTGATAAACATAAAAAAATAATTATAGAAAATCAAGAAAACATATTACCGAGTTGAAGAAAAATTTGTAAGCGATGCCTTAAAATAAAATTATCAATTTAAATCTATTCAAATCCACAAAAACATAAATTTTGTTACCACGACTCAACTCATAAAATTATCAACCAAATGAGCTGTCGTATCATTGCCAAACGTGTGCCGATAATTTACTGTTACAGAAAATTAAATTTTGTAAACAAAAGAATTGCAGATACGCTTATTCAAACAATTTGAGCGAATCCATTGTATTTTGCTCGCTATATTTAGCTTTTAGAACATGCGATAACGTTTTGCGGCATCTTCTCTATAAAATTAGTATGGATGGTGTTTTATAAACATTAAATTAATTGATAATATCGACTTTGTATTGTGCAAATGTTTTGATCAATATTGAAACAATCTGTTAATTATGCAACAGTTGAACACATATAGTAATAAATAGAATGTCGTTGGTTCATTATCAATAAGAATAATTTAAGTAATTTAGCAAATATTATAGAAATATAAAACTAAAGAAAAAAGAGTGCGCGTAAGGTTCACACGCGATTGAAGTAAAACTTATTTGCTACTGTACAAGATGGCATTTAAGTAAAAATAAATACGTCATATAGCAATTTTGAATAATGTTTATTAGTAATATGGTAACACTCGTGATGCACACATTTATTAGTGTCAACCATTATACACATTTATATAATGATAAATTATAAATTATATATTTATAATAGCATCAAAAATATGTATAATAATTAAAAACTTTAATGTAATTAAAGTCATAATTCAAATATGACATGATTGGTTTGTCATTGTAATTTGCATATAGAAATTAACCTTCATTAGAGAAATGAAGTAATTGCTGATTAATAAATTCTATAATATTCGTTCACACTGTGGATTATGTTAAACAACGCCTAAACAAATATTGTTCTCGCAACTTCACTCATCATGTAATTGTGTTTGAAGAACTTCATGTAATTAAAATTAACATACATTCATTGACTGATTGTATTTTTTTACTTTTTTGCTGGCGATGTAATCTCATTCTTTGAACACCTGTAATATCTGTCTTGTCTAAAAAATATTTTCTATTTTAATAACTTCAAAGATTTATAGAAACTACGAATAATTTAAAAATAATTTCTAATCAATAAACTTACGTTTAGTACACGGCACAAATGTTTAAATTGTTTTATTATTTTCAAGGAACAGGGAAAAATGTTCTTCTGATTCAGACATTTTTCATTAAATCAAAATTTGTACTAGATGTAACTTTAAAATGTTTATTTATCTATGCCGATTTCCTTGTCGATATAGGTACGCATACAAGGTTGAAGCCGTTACGCATACAATGACGAATCTTTGGCACTCGACTCTTATCTTATCTTATCTGCCGTAACGCACTTCCGTTGCATTTGTACGGATTTACACCCTAGTCGCGCCTAAAGAAGTTTTACTTCAATAAATAAGTTTAAAATTTCTTATCCACTGACCTGAATCGTATCCTGATCTGCGGAAACGTGCTGGCTCTATACTGTCCTTCCAAGATCTCGGAATCGAATCTCGGATCCAGGAACGTTCCTTCGGCCGCCCTATCGAACGCCACCGGTAAAACAATACCGCATAGCGATCTGCGCGGCCTGGCCGTTTGCCAGAGGAGCGATTGTACTACATGGGGCTTCATAAGCATCCTGATGGCTTCGTCCTCGTCCTGGGAGTCCGACTGGCCGGACGCGTGCCGGAACGAAACCGTGCCGACGCCGTTGCCACCACGATCATCCTGGGGAAGAAATCGAGTCATTATTAAAAGGGAAAGTGGACACTAAAATGGGATAAAATTACATGGTGTTTTAGTTTTTGAATGATATTTATTCATTTAATTATAATTTGATCAGTTTCGATAGTTTTTACTCGTTTTAGATTTATTTACTACCAGTAACAGAGTCTTTCAATTAAATAGGAGTTATAATAAAATATTTATTAACTTCCCGAAGGAGAAGTTTATGTTTTCATCAAAATTTCCGATTCGCTAATTTTATGTTTTCTCGACGTTTCAAGCCATTCTGAATCGAATCAGACCAAATTTGGATAAAGTATGTGTGTGTGTGTATGTGAACAGATTTTTTGCCGTAAATCAGCGTTTTCTCAAAAACGGCTGGATCGATTTCAAAAATTTAAAAGCCATTCGATGTACCTCGATGTCGATGTCGAAATCGTTTAATTTTAAAAATTCTTCAAAGTTTTCAAAAATTGGTATCGTGTTTTGGCATTTTTCAAAATTAGACCTTTGGTCGACGTTTTCTCCAAAACGCCTGAACCGATTTCAGAATTTAAAAGCTATTTCATGTATCTCAATGAGGACTATCGTATGTCAGTTTTGTGAAACGATCTGCCGAGCCGTTTTTTTATAATTTGAGAAAAAGTGTTAAACTTTAAGTCCACATTTAAGCTCGAACTACCGAATCGATTTTAAAAAATCAAACTGTTCGAAAGATATTAGTTGAGAATGATACTGATTAGTTTTAGATGAAAATCTACCGAGCCGTTTTCTTGTAATTGACTGTTGAAAAAAAAACTCAAGCCGATTTTTATGAAACTTTCTTTGACGATGTATATCATGGTCTTATAGAACTTACTGAAATATTACGGCCTTACGACAAGTAGTTTAATTTTAAAAATTCATCAAAGTTTGACAAAATGAGTAGTTTTTTTGACGTTTGTTAAAATTAAAATTAGACGATTTACTTGGTATAACGATAGAGTACTTGGTCTTAATGAACACACTAAATCATTAAAGTCCTACGAAAACTGATTCAATTATAAAAACTATTAATTTTTTAAAATTTGCTTTTAGAAAATACTCTGAGTTAACGTGTTCGTTCGTTTTTAATTATGTGTAATAAATCCTCTCGGAATACTTCTAATCACTCATAAATTAATTTTTGTTTATTATTGATTTAGTCGATTATTTACACATATCGGAAAGTTCATGTAACTTGCCCCAAGGCTAAATACCAATACCAACTAGTTTATTTTATAAAATTATTTATTCTAACTATCAGTGTTATTGACTATCAGTAACATATTCTTTCAATTAAATAGGAACTATAATAAAATATTTATTAAAAAATGTGTAACTAATCACAATTACAAATTTTGTCCATATAATATGGTCAGAATGACATATGAAGTAAAAAAGTAATGAAATACTAATTTTTAGAAAGACAGTTTCCAAATAAATCATTTGTCCTCTTTGGGACTTCAGCATATGAGCCCAAAGGCAACAAGTCATACATCGCAACCAGTATCGGAATTAAGGAAAAAAAGAGGTCTTTGCTATAAATGAAAAGTCTGTTCTTATAATTGGTAGATCCTGTGGTCTGCTAATCACCTTTTACTTTTTCTTAACCTCGAGTGAACTACCTTAAAGTCCTGACGAAATAGTACTAAGTTATTTTGTCTAATGTTTAAGTATGTCATTTTATTCAAAAGTGAATAAAAATGAATAAACAATCAAAATTCCATCAAACCCTCGATAAGTGCATTGCAATTAATCCAAATCACTGAGTACTGGTATACATTCATTCATTCTAATAGAAATAATTATGAATAACAATGAATAAGTACTTGGACAATGACGCTCAACATCTGACAAAATTGTGATTGTGGCTTTTGTAAAGTTATACATCATCTGTTATGCCCTGAATGAATTAGAATTCTGAGCACATAAGTACTTGTTCTAGAACTTTATACTCATTTGAAAAGCTTTTGAACTACAGAAACAGTTATAAATTTTCCATATTCCATGTACATGTACATGTCTTATACAGCAATGAACAAAAGTTAAGTAAAAATATGATTCGTATAGAAATACATGAGCCATATTCGCTACTCTATATATTCCAGTAAGTAATTTAATTCAAATTGATGCCGATATCTAAATCACTAACTATAGAATTCTTGGAATATTTGTATACAGGAAATATTTTAATCAAAGATCTTACTATGTTGTTAGCAATTAAATCAAAGCCACCTTCAGCGAGTTATTTATTAATAACATAATATAAAATAGATCGTGTTTCTAATTATTATTTATCTTCAAAGAAAATAATAGTTCGTAATTATAGATCTTGGGCGCAATTCTTGTTAATTACAGCTAGACTAACTTTATAATGATATCTTAATTATCTGTTATTCCGTTGCCTACCAGGGTGTGAAATTCTATGAAGTCTATAAATTTATTGTTGAATTTTTTTAGGAAAATTAAATAAAGAAAATGATTTAATGAAAGATCTTAGCGTGCGTTACTAATTAACTGAGATAAAATAATTGAAGGTAATAGATATAAAATGGTTCATTACAATTTATTGCATTGAATTTGAAAATATTCTTAGATACATAATTCTGCATAGTTGAAGAAATATGAACGAACTCTATACGAGGTCGAGGTCAATGTTACTGCGGTAATTCTGCGAGAAAAGATTACTTAATTAAAGAAAATATACCAGCATAAAAGCATATGTTCAGAAGTACTTTGTTTCATTTAATAAATTTATATCGCCATGATATTCTGTTTGAACTATTTAAATCACTACAATGCCTTGAATGTTCCATTACAATATATATTGGCCCTTGAATTGGAACTATAAGCAGATCAATGGAAAACTCAATGTAGCAAGAAATAATGCCAAAGATCTAATCATTTATTTTCTGAGAGAATTATTTAAAAAAACGATTGTAACAATTGTTCTTGATCCAAAAAGTTATTCACTCTCGATGGCCATTTAAGTCTCGCATTGAGAAACATTGAACTGGAACCATCTGTCTTTTTACACATCAATTTGTACTTACAACGATCGCACATTTTCCAACATCGCTAATATTTATTTTAAATAACGTAATAATTATGCATAGCTGCCAGAATTAGAGGAAATATTCTACTAAAAAAAATATTATATCACATGAGCAAACACGGATGCAAAAAGCACAAAGTTTACATATATTATTAGCACCTTTGGACATTGGCAGTGAAAAGATATATTAAATGCACGAATGATACAATTGAGATCAACGGTTGTAGATTTGCAATGATAGAACATAGTTTATTGATTTATTACATATTATCATCTAAAGGTCAAGTACGTTTTGTTTGGCATTTTAAATCGCGAATTAAACTTTTGCAGAATCGAATAACACTTCATGTAAAATTCAACAGGCTCTTGTTACACTACATTGGACAATTTGTAAATTTTATGTATACACGAACATACATACATACAAACACATACAGATATATAAAAACACACAGACACACCCATATATAAATATGTACATTTATTTCACCTATACCTAGTGTAATCTTTCTAGTCGTATCGATAATTTTTCATCAACTCGGTTTATTATATTTAATTAATTCATGTAATATATTTACCTAAGTTGATATCTTAATAATACTTAATTATATCATTATATAATCATCATTGTAAGTGAGCACTATTAAATAATTTAACAGTTTTGCGATAAGTCGAGCATTTGTCCATGCTACCGTACATTACATATAACGCGATACATTTTTTCATAAGTTATTCATATCATGTTGCGTGTAATGTTCTATGATAACAAAATTTACATATACTGTGGAATCTTTTGCAAACATTAGCTTCACATATTCCAAAGACATATTGCCATTTATTACAACATAAGAAATGCGAAATGTACTTTACTGAAGATAAACGACATTTCTTTTACATGCATACTTCGGCATCTGAATACAACTATGTAGAAAGGAAGACAAATTACAATTTTTTTTATTGTTTTGATTTGCATCATTTCTTTAAAATTACTTTTATCAATTTATATATACTTAAATATAAAAATAAATTATCAATATCTAAATATTTCTATGGCATATCATCAAATTCTTCTTCAATGATAAATAAATATTTATCTTAAAGTGGCGCTTCAGCTAACGAACGAAAATGACTAATCACAAATTTATGAAGTTATAAAGAAATACCTAATGATCTAATCACTTCTACAAGTGCATAATATTTTTCTAGATAAATTTTATTATTTATTTGAACTGCACTTAGATTTTAAATGTTTTATAAGTTGTGCTGATAATTCTTAATTACGTGGTTTTTTAGCAGGTATATTTTATATTTATTGTTGTCGTTGTCCAATTGTCATTGTATTCACATTAAATTATAGAGTTATGGAACCGTGATTTCCTAAACAAAGTCCATAGTGTCGCAATAAAAAAAAAATCATAAGTGATGGTGAAAGGGTTTCCTGAATACAACACATTTCATAGTAATAAATTTTATTTATGAATGCAGTTTGTATGTAAAACCCCTTCACGCAGATTGAAACTTGTATTTGTAATTTGTGCCTAATTATAATTCTAATTATAAAAGCAAATTCTATTATATATAAGTCCCACAAAATTCTTCGTACCCTTATTTGAAACTAGGGTTTTTGAAATTGGCATTCTACGCAAAAATATTTTATATCATAAATACTTACAATCAACAAAAAAAAATTATCACTTCGTAATCGTAATATTTTTTGTAACTTTATGTATATAAATCATAATAATTACTAAATATTTTTGCTTTTTATTACAATTATAAAATATTATTTTAAGTAAAACGTATCCCAGTTTGAAAATAATATAGGATCATAATATTGTTTTAAATAAAAATACTCAACAATTATAGTATGTTATTATTTATCTTGAAAAAGTGTCGGGTAAATTAGCATACAGAAATTACTGTTTTA